GATTATATGTTCAAAAAGCTTGGAGTATCCTTAACACATTTTGGAAAAATCGTGGAGTGTTGTGAGGGCGATGTCTATACTATAGATAAAGACCACTGCTTCGCCGTGGAGGGTAAAACCTCCATCGACAAACTGTCCGTTCTTATCTCAGGCAGGTGAGTAACTAGACTTTAATTACTAGAAATAACCCGCGTAATATGTCTTACTAGGCAAACAAGACACTCGCTTTGTCTAAAATAGGATACGAGTGACGGTGAACGGGGAGTTTTTGCACTGCATCTATCCATTTCAGTTCCTGGACTCTCCAGAGTGGGATTCCCTCAGACCTTCAGAAGAAGGGGTTTTTCAGGTGAATAAATTGTGTTTTTGTGTTCGTACTGTAAACTAAAGGAAAAATTGAAATCGCATCATATGACCCCTTTAATAGGTTAACAGTAGTTCCCGTACTATATAAAGGGAAAAACTGTAAAAGATCTAACCAGACATTTCATGTAATTTTACAGTAAAATGCTGTTAATTGTGCAGTTTTTAGAAGTAAAAAAGAACAAATCAGCATAGAATTTACAGTCAAAAACTGAAAACTGATATTCCCAGAATTCCCTGCAAGATGCTACACATTTTAAAGTATTTTGTTTAAATAACCATATTAATAATCATAATCATGGTCTTAATAATTTTTGTTATCAGTTATGTACATTAGGGTTTTATGGTACATCTTCTGTTGTTTAATGAATGTTTATTGCATTATTTTAGTGTCATGTGTCATTCTATGATGGTGTTTTGTGTTTACATTAATGACTCTGTGCACCTATATATTAGTATATACTTCTGCTTGTGACGAAGCTACTTGTGATGAGCTTTTATTCTTCATGTGGCTTTCTCTTTTACCACCTGCATTATTATGGTGGTTGTCAGTATGTTAAAGGTACAAAACAGATTTTAATAGCAGTGTGACTAGACTTTAATTACTAGAAATAACCCGCGTAATATGTCTTACTAGGCAAACAAGACACTCGCTTTGTCTAAAATAGGATACGAGTGACGGTGAACGGGGAGTTTTTGCACTGCATCTATCCATTTCAGTTCCTGGACTCTCCAGAGTGGGATTCCCTCAGACCTTCAGAAGAAGGGGTTTTTCAGGTGAATAAATTGTGTTTTTGTGTTCGTACTGTAAACTTTATAATGGAACAAATTCTGGTATTTTCCCCAGGTTACGTTACGTGCAGATAACCGGTGCAGGTACGTCGCGTGGAGACGAAAGAAACTCTATCTGCTGTTCGCGCAGCACCGATACATCGCCAAGATCTTCGCGCTGCTGGTGCGCAATGACATCGCGGAGAAACTCTTCTCTCTCAACGACAAGGCTTTCGACATCAGCGGGTTCCGCTATGATCTCCGGTTACCAAGCTTCTGTCACGGACCAGAGCCAGAAATAGAAAACACAAGTGAATCCCGGCCAGTGCTGGGACCGAGTAAAACCAAACCGGCAGAAAGAGACTCGTGAGAAACGCACGATCCAATTTTCTGTAGTCTTACTGATGGTAATTAATGGTCTTGTTTTTTTTGTTTTTTTTTTTTTGCCATGCAATGTTTTATTCTCTTATATTGGATACGCTTTAAGTTTTCCCCAAACATTTGTGTCTTTGTTTTATGTAATTGCAATGACCTCCTGAAATCAGTGTTTTTTTTTTCAGCCATGCAATTTTGCAACAGGAGAATCACATAATTATGCAGAAGATGAAGTGGTTTTCAGTATGATACTTATTAAACAGTCGTTTCTCTGTATATCTAGCATTATCATGATGGTGTTTTGTGTTTGTGAGAATGACTGTGCACTTTCTGTATATTAGTGTACAGTATACTTCAACTTTTGGAAAAGCTACTTGTGATGAACTTTGACTCTTCATGTGGCTTTCCCACTTGCATTATTACAGTGGTTGTCAGTATATGTCAAAGGTACAAAACAGATTTTAGTAGCAGTGTGTGTTGCTGAGTTTACTGGTTTACATTCATTTTTTTTTTTGTAAATTACAGTTTTACACTGTAACATTTACAGTTTGTTCTGTAAATGTGTTTACAGTTTTTCTGTATTTTTTACAC